GAATAAACACATACATCAATTTCAAAATCCAACACATTTGAATTTCAAATGCAGCGCTGCCTTTCTCTCTCTCTCCCTCTCGTTTTTTACGATATGTCTCATTTCTCTTGTGGAGATATAAAAGGAGAGGGCTGAGAGGGAGAAATTAGAGGGGTGGGAGAACAAATGCTGTATGGAATTTGAGATTATGTATTTGGTTTGTGTGTTTCCCTCCTGTTTAAATCAAACATGTGGGGGCCGCGTAGCCCTGGGCTTGTTGCTGGTGACAGTTTCAGTGTTTCTAGACTTCTCTCCTCCCCCTTTTCAGCAGCAGTCCTGAATTGAGAAGCGGGGTGGAACGGGGTGTGGGCTTCTGGCGGAGGGTGAATTAAATAGTCACTCTCTCTCTCTCTCTCTCTCTCTCTCACTCTCCCCCCTTGCACTTTCTCTTTTTTTCAGTGGCGTTTAAAATCAATTCATTCAGTGGACTGCTGACACAGCCCGGCCCAGAGAGCCCAGGATTTATGGCTCCCTCTAATGGGCATGCTCTGAACCAAAGCCCTGCCGTCAGCACAATCCTGCCAGCCACCCATCCGCCCCGCTCCCTCACTCCATCTACCTTTTAAAGATGCAGGCATCCCTCCTCTTCCTTCCTCTGCTCCTCCTCCCCCCCTCCCCCTGCTCACATCGCCCCGATGCTGGCGGCAAAGAGGCCCTGCGAGCGCGCTCGGGATCCAACAAATTTATAACACGACGCAAACAACGGCATCTTCATTTCGTAACACTGGGGTGTTAAATGCCTTCTCTTTGTGCTTCACAGTGATTAATATCAGAGGAGTTTCTCTTCCAACAAGTGGTGCTTTCCAGAGCGGTGAATAATACCTTGCTAACTATTATTAGACATCTATTAATATCTGCAGTAGTTCCCATAGCAGCATTTTATTTATTTATTTATTTTTGGATAAACAGGAGCACATATTTTTATGTAATGCAGGCAGACATTTGGTGTGGTGATGACCGAGGAGCGCTGTGATTACTCACCGTAAAAGCAGAGGATTTCTATTCCTCCAAAACGAAGAAGATATAAACACGTTCAGCCTCATTCTTTTCCTCCTTCTAATCATTAAAATCCAAGGAGATCTTTTCTAACAAGTGGTGGCTCCCAGAGCAGTATATAACGTCTCTGCATCCATTATCTCGTCTGACTAGTGGCACTACCTAAGGTCTTGTGAGTGTATATATATTCATGTATTCATAACCAAGTCTAGTCGTGTCACAGGATCTGAAACAATTTATGGCGCGGAGAAGAAAAAAAACATGATTGAAAACACTCGCCTGTGAACTCAGTCAGTGTAAAGGCATAAAAAAATGATCATGGCCCGAATTGCAATGACAACACCAAGTCGCTCCCGTGCGCTTGATTCGAGCGAGTCGGCCGGTCCCTCGGCGGGAGGCTGCGCGCCGCTGCTTTGTGTTTATTTCTATGACAGTATGTCTGCGCGCGCAAAATATGCCACGCCGCTCTTGACCCCATTATATCCTCAGGCAACGTGGCAATTTGCAGACAAATACAGACCTTAACTTCAGCCCCGGAGCCTGCAACTTACATCCTTCTCCATATTCCGGCTCAGCTCCCGCAGCCTGTCAAGGCGTTATGGGCCCTGAATTAGCCTCCCATTACAGCAAGGCTCCAGCTTCCCCCTAAAGTTAACCATAACTGACCATTTGCCGTGGCTTCATTATAAAGCCATGCATGTAAAATCGAGTCGTGGTCCCTGGCCGTCACATTCGATTTCAAAATACAATCCCCAGCTCCCCCTCTCGGAATCTCCGTCTTTCTCTCTTACTTAAGTTCAACCTTCTCCTTGTTTCATAAAATATGATCTGATTAAAATAGATTACACACCTTGTTAGCAGAGCGTTTCATATTTGATACAGTGTTGCTTTAAGATGGGCAACCTCCTTCATGATTCAAAGTGATTGTGGCCTTGTTCTCTGGCCTATTTGTTTAATAAGCTCTGCTACATCAGCGGGCCTTTTAAGTGAACACGCTCCCCTGCAGCAAAGGCATAAGATCAATACCCACACCTGTAAAAAAACACACAAGAAATATTTTAAAAAAGGAGGAATCGCGGCGGCCAAGGATTTTCTCCTTCTAAGGAGTGGGAGGCGAGATAATAAGCAGCAATCCTGACGGTATGAGAGGAAACCCAAAACAGGAAGCAGCTTTTATGTGCTGACCTGTAGGGAGAGCTACGGGTCAGCTGTGAAATATTCAGGCCCGATTAGCCCGACGCCGCTTAAACTAAAGCTTTCCGATCGTACGAGCTATGCAAATGGGATATTACAAACACAAAGAAGAAAGGCAGCGTCTTTGAGGGTAAATGAATTCATTATAATCCTCACCTCATCTGCTCACTGATGGAAGACTTCTCGTGTAATCGCTGATGGGGGGGAAACCTTCCACTGTACCCGGGGAGCTCAGATGTGGGAATAATACCGGGTCGGATCGCCTTAAAATGAAAATAATACTCCCCCATTTACCGTGAACAAAGTCCATGTAAGAGGGTATAATGTAATACTGTGCTTGAGGAATGTAATTATCATTTAGTGGGTCCGTGAGCTGTGTTTGACAGGGCCTGAACTGCATGAAAAACTCATTTTCATTTTTCTTATTATATCATGATTATATAAACATTCTTAACCAGTGGCCACAGCAGCAGCAAATTATTGCAAATTAGCCCCATATTGCCAGTTTTTAGCGGAGGCAAATGAACAAGCACTACAACTCCAGTGTTTATTCCATAAATCAGCCGAACGCAGCACCTGTTGAGAATGTAAATAGCTGAGGCTATTTGATTAAACTTGCATCAAAACATTTGAAGAGCTCTGCTCGTTTTTGGGGCTGTTTATCCCTCTTGTTTTCATCTCCACGTTAAGTTTGTTCTCTCCGCCCACGCCCGCTGCAAGCCGAGTTTCGATGGGCGGTGATGGGGGAGACATAACACCCACCAGCTATACGTGGGGTCACGGGAGGTCTGTCATTACCGAGCCACAGTGGTGATCACGGCAATAATATAGAACTATAACCGAGCAATTAGACTAATGGAAAACGTCCCTATTTCTCCCGGTGTGCTGCAGCGAGACGCGCCGCATGCCCCGCGGGCCCCCCGCCGAGATGAGGCTGGAGATATGAAGTGGAGAGGAGGTAATGGCTGGGGCCCATTGATCCTCGCTGCCACCTGCTATATGGCTCCGCAGAGGACGGGCGAGGAAGCTGAGAGCTTCATCTGGGGAGAGATCACACCGACTCCTGGGCTCTCAGGCATATGGATAAGAGTCTTTTTCTAGTCTTCCGCTACTTAACCAGCGCACATCAGCACAATATGGCCGGATAGGGTAGAGTAGGACGCGCATACATACAGCCTTTATCGCAGTGAGAGAGCTTTCACACCGAAAGGGCGTGAAGCCGTTTCCTCAAACTCTGGAGTGTTTCGCCCCTGGAGTGAGGAAAGGTGACGACCGCTGAAATAAAAACCACAATAAGTGGCAAAGGTCTCGCTCTCCTTTTCTTTTTTTGTCTGCACGCAAACGAGTTGTTGCTGCGCTGTAAAGTCACAAAATCGTAACACGAATTCCAGCGCTTGTAATGTGATGGAGATGCAGAGGATGCCTGTAGCGCTCGCCTCCAAAAACGAGGTGTTAAAAAGCCAAAAAAGCTGGAGTCGGGTACCAAAACAGGTTTTCTCTCTTAACTGTCACAAAGGTAATTTCTTTTAATTAAAGTTAGGAAATAGGCTGCTAACACACTGCACCCAATCACAGTTTGCTTTGCCTCACCTTCAGCACCAGACGCCACCGAACTGGACCTCTCGACAGCCTTTGCTGCGTCGGTGCCTTTGGGAGAGGTTTTATAGGAATGTGACGCCGACTTCTGTCTCCGAAAGGCAGCAACAAAGGCTCGGTGATGTGACAGTGGCTTCATCTATCTTTTATATACAGCCTATTATATTTGTATATAATATGATCGCTCAGAGAGAAAGTCAGATGAAAGAGAAGCTCTTACTTTTTTCTCTCCCGCTGTGCACCACTCCGACATGCTGTTCATTTACCCGACGGACACAGCAGAGAGACGGAGAGAGCCGTTCCCGTGCAAGGTGAGCGAGACGTTGTTGTGAAGCGGGAGGACGCTGTGCAGATTTGCTTTGCTAGGTCTTGCAAGTAGGAGCTAAATCTCTAAAGTTACAAAGTTAGCGACAGCTGTGAGCGAGAGGGGCGTCGGGCGGATGGGCTGAGATGGTTTATAAACGAAAAACAAATACCTACAATATTAATAAATGGCATAGCAGACAGAGTGGCATTAAACAGGGACTTGTGACCCCCACCCAAGCTGGACTTTAATGCTGTACCACCCTGAGAAACATGTCATTGCACTCCCTGGTTGAATTTGAAGTGTGCTGCTTCCCTGAACATCCCCAGCTGCAGAGCGTGCGTGCTCTGATACACATGAAACCACATGCATGACCTACGTCACAGACCTCTGACAGCCCCCGGAGTACGTGCATACATCACCGGGGCGATGTGAGCAGCTGTATCACTGGAGAGGTAATCCCAGTCCCTCTTCTCTGTCGCTTCACTTTAGTAAAGTGTGTTTTTAATCTAACTGAACCTACCATCAGTAAGACATCAGAATAAGGTGCTTTAAAAAAAATGTCATAATGAAAATAAAGCACTGAAAGTGTTTTTTTTTTCCCTTTGGATAATTTTTGAAGACAATTTTTTAAAAATCTGGTTTCAATCTTTTAGCCTGTGAAGCTAAAAACAGGAGGAAAAAATCCAAAACTAGATAACGAATGTGCAGCATGTTCACAACTTAAACCTCTGCTCAGGAAAAGCTGTGGATAAATTACCTCAGTGTAAACGCCACTTGGCTACAAGATAAGATTTAAAAAAAAAAGTCAACCAGAACACAACAGACCAACAGGAGGGGGGGTCCGAAGGGGGTTAGTTAAGAGTCTGACCTGCCCAGCTGGGGGTCTCCATGTACAGGTGAAGCCGGTCGGCCTGGAGCTGGGTCACTCGACTCGCTGCTGTTGGCACAGGTGCTGATGAATCCTGAAAATGGAGAAGAGAGGAAAGCTCCCATTAGAAAACAGAGTGCAGCAGCGAGACGAGGTGATTCATTTAATTATGCGCTAATGAAACAGGGAACAGAATTCAGCCTTCTACTTTTACTACTTCATACTAAAGCTGCCACAATATCACACTTTTGCTTCACGGTGATCAAACATTTCACAATAACAACATCAGTGTGACACGTGCAGATAATCTGAAAAACACAGTGAAAGAAATCATGTTTGCAACAGCAGATTTTCATCCAAAATCCAAAAATATATCTTAAACATGAAGGTTTCAGGTTAGTCCTAACATGACATGTGGAAGAAGACAGGTGTGCTACAAACACCTCAGCGATATTAACTTCACCCATATGTCGACTACACCTGATGTACAGTGAAGAAAGACTTTTGGCTGGTAATATTTAGAGACTTTCACCTTTTTTAGATAACATAATGGAAAAATTCACAGGGAAATACTTTTTTTCTTCAGGCCTGTAGAGCTGGATGGTTCTCACTGTGTGATGCTCAAAGAAAAAAAAAATCTTTTGAAAACCTCAGCAGCATTACTGTTTTTCCCAAAATCTACAAACCTTGTTGGGAGCAGTTTCACGCAGGAACTATTTTTTTTCTACCCAACTACACCCCCCCCAGCCATATTACTGTGCAGAAGGGGGCGTGCATTTAGCAGCGAGTCCAGGCTTGCACTTCTAACAGAATGTCAGGATGTAGAGTGGTGCACACCTTGGTTTAGCAGCAGTGCAAACTAGCTGAACCCTTCATTTAGTTGCTGAATGCAACCGGTAAATAGTTCCTGCATGAAACGCCTCACAAATTTTTACCAAGCAGCTCAGTTTCATGTTCGTTTTTGGTGCAAAATCAGGCCAGCGCCATCAGGCTCTATTATAACCTTTCTACAGCCTCCAAAACAAGCTAGATGCATATATGCTACTGCAACTGAACTGTCCCTTTAACGGATAGTTAAAGCGACGTCTAGTTAGATGAGGAGAAGTGATTAGTTTGGCTCTGTGAAGGCTTAAATAAGCACCAAATCCTAGTAACACCTTAAAATAACTAATAAATAAGTAGCATTTTATTTGTTTGACACGTTCGCACAACTTCCACATAAAGACAATGATGTGTAGTTGTAGGGGCGTGAGCCGCTGGAGCCGTTTCTTGACATTTCGTCCTGCTGCGTAGCATCTCCAGCTAGCATGAGGTGCCAGATACAGTGAGGAAGTGCAAGTTTTTGTTTAGTCTCTTCACAGGTGCAGTGGCACCAAACTTGACAACCTCACTGAAAACAACAAGACTTCCAGCTGTTGCTCACCAGGAAGTAGTTATAGTGAAATCCATTTAAGTCGAGGTTTCTAAAGACATCTCCTGTCACTCGCAATAAGTTGCGATGATGGCGGAAAGTAGCACTCTGAATTTAGCGATCAAAAAAACACAATGTCGCAATTACACCGAGTACGTTTTGGTGCATCGTTTGCAGAGCTGGTATTAATCACCGGCGCTCGATGCTGTCAGACGTTACATCCCGTGTGTGTGAGATGCAGAGCCAATACACAAAGCATATATATCTGAATGTTCCTGCATGTTTGTGCCTCAGTGGGTGACTGTTCTCATGCAGCAGGAGGTTTTTCTGCTGACTTGTGTATCTTCGCAGGCCTCTGGTTGGCTGTTGCCCAGAAGCCCAGCCGGTGAACCGCAGAGAAACCGCATTGATTTCATCCCAGCAGAAATCCCTTCTCCTGGTTCCCGCCTCCCTACCCCGCCCAGCACCTGATTAAGCATTTGCAGGGAGCCATGCCAACACAATTTGTCATTTATCAAAAGTAATTAAAAGCAATTTCTTTTCTCTTGTTGATTGGGAATTGACTAATTGTTGAGTCAGTGAAAACGGGGGAATAAATAAAACAGGGAAGGATGAATTTTACATAAACTCGGAGGAAAACATAAACGCTGTAAAACGAGGGCCAGACATCTGGCTCTGTGATTTCTCTCTACATGATTATGGCTGCAAAACCGAAACAGTTGTTTAGCGCATTCAGATATACAGCCCATAGGCAGTAAATAATATATTAGAAACAGCATATTGACTAGCTGACTTAAAAGGGTGTTTTCACTTCATGTTGTGTGAACACAAGAGTGGGAGGAAAATACAAACACTGGTTGGTTATTTGTTAACAGGAAAAAAATGAAAAACGCTGCTCCCACTTGTGCCAAAAGAGATATTTGAGCCGGTAAATACCAACATCTCAGTCTCGGAGAACCCCCCCAACCCCCACCCGCCAAAAAAAGGGACGACACACAAGGTGGAGAGAGGCTGGAGCCATCCCACAGCAGAGGTTACAGTACATCTATCCAATGAAACCAAGCAATACCGTTTCAACATTATCGGTAACAACCTCTGAATGCACCATTACCTTCTATAAGGGCAGAATGAAATGTCAGAATTGATTCGAGAGGGGAGGGTTGAGATATAAGTGGGCAGCTAAGGTGGCCATTTTGTTTCAGCGGCCCTATTCGGTGTCCCTGGATCATTAGCGGACGGTAAGAAAGAGCTGGAAGAACATGAAGGAGGTGTGGGTGGCCATCGCACGCATCTCTGGTGACAGCATATGAAAAAGCAACCAAAAACAAACACACACACACACACTGACATGGCAAGAATCAAAGGGGGAAAAACAGGCACGAGCGGAATCGCTGGGAGTCGTTTAAAATTTCGCACCACTTTGTAAATAACTTTAACTGCACAAATACCTGGTTTCGCTCCGGGAGGATGAAAATTTTTTCCAGCCAACAATTTATTCCCTGCCAACAAATGGCGCCGTTGCTTCAATGAGACTATTTGAATATCCCTTTGAAGGCTGCAGATGGACAAGCAATGCTATCATTGCCTGGAAACACAGAAATAATTGGGCAACAGTGGAAGAAGCCTACATTCATGTCTCTGCTGAGACCCAGCTTGGAGTATCTAAATGAACCTCTCGTTCTCCTGCCTTTTGTTTACCTTCCTATTTATCATAAAAACTCAATTACTTATGTTCCCCAACATGTATGGTTATTAATGTTCTAATTATGCTTTTCCCCTCTAATCTTTGCCTCGCAATTTGGGTGATGTATGTTTGAACAATGCACTGAGTCCCTGAAAGTGAATGCTGAATTAGGACTCTATGGATGGTGACAAATTAAAGGGGAAAGCCGACATCCAGTGTCTTTTAAGGTGCTGGGGCACCACTCGCTGCCCGAACAGCTTCAGTGCACCTCTGCGTCGACTCTCCATGTTTCAGGTGTTTTACTGGGACGAGCGTATCGTCTTCATCATTGCTTAAAACACGGCTCATGCCAGTACAGAGGCGTAACCTTTTACAAAAAGTATTTACCTATTTAACAAGATAAAGTGGATGAGATTAAAACATACCATTTGTGCTGCCTGTCTTCACTCTACATGGACATCTTCACCTTTCTGCAATCCTTCCTGGCTGAAGAATTGTAAAATGTTATTACTATTATAGTTAAATAAAGTCAAATCTACTATATTACCAACTATAAGCTGAAAATGTAAAGTGCTGGAGAAATTTCTAAACAATTTCTTCAGGAAAAGAAGCAATAAAACACCATGAAAACACCTCACCACTCATAAAACAATATTATTGGGAAACTGTGCATAAAATATCAAAATAAAAATGATTGTTCTTCAGGAAAATGTTCCGCATCAGTATTAAATTGATTAATATCACTGCTGCACATTGAGCTAATCTTAAATACTTTATAGTCTGTTTAATGCCCAGCATCATATTCTATAAATCATGCGTTTGTAGTGGCTGTCCTGTGAGAGCCACATATCTAGGAAACACACAGTTGTTCCAAATCACAGGCCTCTTCAAACAGTACAGTAAAATAATAATTAAAGAAATCAGCTAAATTAAAAGGCTGGATCAGTGTGTGACATGGTTAACTATTAATATCCACAGTGGATTCAAAATATAAATGAAAAATGAATGTGGAGTGTTAGCAAAGCAGCTGGTTAAACCTATTACACTCAGGTATCCTAGTAGATGCTAATCTGAAAGTGCTGCTAAGATTGCACCTGCTTAACTTGCCTGATTTATTAGCCCGGACATGGTCAGAGCTGCTGCCTCTCCATCATCGTCACAACTTTCCTTATAAACGGAGTTATTAAAAAAAAAATCTCAAACTCAATCTTCACTACATCATACATGTTAGCCAAAGCGGTTAACAAGGGGAAACTCCAAAGTTACGATGCTAAATCTCTGAAGCCTGTTTACTTGCAAATGCTAACTCGCGTTAGCTAATTGGCTAATGCTAATGTGTTAGCATACCAAGCACAAATCTAACTGGCGTTAGCTAATTGGCTAATGCTAATGTGTTAGCATACCAAGCAGAAATCATAGCTAATCTCAGAGCAGTGAAAGCTGACCAGCAGCAGCTTGCTTCACACTCTGGTCTCGTCTCAAAGGTCAGAAGTTTATCCAAAACCACTGAAGGAAAAAGCTACTAGCCTCCGAGTTTACTCGGCTTCAGTCACGGACACGCCCTCAAACCTGACAGAGCTGCTTTCATGAGAATGAAATAAGCACAGCTTTCAGCAACAACATCCGACTGCGGCCACAGGCTGGCAGCAATGTAAAAGCTGAATTTACATATTAACTGACAGGCGAGGAGCTTGAAGTAGACAAATAGCTTTATTTCGGTACATTTTAATGTGTATTTTTAGGCAAGTACTGCTTGCCTTGCTTGCTCTAACTAAATGCCACAATTTGACTTAATGGAGTATTCTTCTAAATGATGAACCACTGCTACACAGCTGAACAGGTTGTGTATAGTATGTATGTAAGAGAAGTGCACCACGCAAACATAATGACATAAAAGAACCTCAGTACCGAAGCCAGACTGTTGATATTTGGTGAAACTGACTAGAATGAACTATACCTTGATGACAGTTACCAGCTAATTGTAGCTCTGCCAGACAGA